ATTTTTGCTGGATAAGTCTTCCCCCCCCCCTACAAGAGCTCTTATTGTCAACACTCTCAGGCTCTTGCCCTCAGTCACAGTCACCTTACTTCCTCATCCTTACTCACTCACTCCTTTCATCCTCTTTCCATCTTTGACACAGAAAGTATCAATATTACTGCTTGTCAGCAGTATCCTAGTCAGTACTGTTCCTTGAATCACTTTTAATAACTTGCTGGACTTTGCTGACTTACCCTCATACTATCTCTAGCACTCTCAGTCCTTGTTCTCTTGTCTCAATCTATCTTCCTCTCAAGTTACTCAATATGCTAGTTTGTTTTCACCCATACAAACTCAGGTCGTCCTCCCCACCCCCTCTCAACCAAGGACAAGCACTAAGCCTTGACCCGAGTGAGGTTCCTTCTCTACCAAGTGTCCTGCCACCTTCAAAACAGCAAACACTTGAGGAGAGGAGCCTTGTAACAAAATCTGACTGTTCAAAGCAAATCAAGTGAGTCATCTTGTTGTTTTTACACACCATTACATTCACTTATAACATTTATAATGTACAGGTACAGAGACACACTCAAACAAATATGTCAGCTCTCACAGTCTATCAAGCAGAACATTGACCTTTGGGTTAACATTCCAGGTGCTATGAACTATGGTATAGCTGTTGAATCTCTCGAAATGTATTCAAGAATGGAAGTGACGGCCACAAACTATGACACTGAGGACATAGAACTTTGCAAGAGAGTTATTGCAAATGCATAAGTTTGATTATATTCTGCTCCTCTAGCGATTACTGACAACTCTGTGTCAGTTGTAAAGAAGAGAAGGACCTTCTCTTCAGGGTTTATAAGAGTGTCCTTGTGCTCTTTTCCAATGAGAGGGCCTATTATGAAGTGCTTTCTAGTCCAGAGGCTAAGGCACTTTGGGTTGAGGTATGTGCATAACACAATGAAGTTGCACCTATCCATTCTATCATGTTCCTTACTGTTCTACTCCAGTCGACAGACAAAATAACTTTGCAGCCAATGTCCACTCTGTAGCCAATGCATGTGTGTGTGTACTATCCCTATCTATCTTCATTCCCTCAGAATTCATTCTCCATCTCTGTCATCAGACTTTCATTATCACACACTGTATTCTGTCATCACTAATGATACTAATCTATTCTATTTACTTTAGGTGAACAAGAAAGCAGAGCAAGGTTGTAGTAACAACACATCTACACTCAAACAGAGGGGGCACTACCATGTGCTCAAGGAAGGCTGGCTAGAACCACCAATTGACAATCAACCAAGTAAGATAGGCAGAGGTATACACTATCCACAATTGTTACAGATGATTGTACCAATGCTACTCCTGCATACACACAGCAGCAAGGAAAGGTATGCAGACCAACAGATGAAGTCAAACAAAAAATGAACACTCTTACTCATATTCTTACTGTATAGTTTTGAAGACAATGTAAAGTCAAAAAAATACTCAATCACACATAGGTCATTCCCTACATTCCTGTATGAGGAAGGGTCATACAATCCAGAAGTAATGGACAAGAGCCTATTCTGAGGCTGTTTTCTTGTCAAAGTAAGTACACTCCTATTATTCTTTACAAATACTAATACTTCTTTTGTAGTGCCTTTGGCTGATCTTTACAAGCCCAAGTTCTGTAGATGCTGAGCCTGGTAGCAAAGGTAAAACAACACAGGCAAATAATGCTGAGATTGTAGGTGTGAAGTCTGTCACCCCAGAGATGATTGTCTACATATGTGTCCAGGTAAGTACTCAGGCTGCAATAGTGATATAATCTAGCAACACTAACAATACTTTTGATATGATAGGCATGCTTTTTTATTTCAACACTTGAAACCTTTGGCAAGGTCAATGAAAATTTTAATTTCAAAGTGTTTTATTACACTATTCTCGAGTTTTTCGAAGACCATGAGTCTCTATGGGTCCAGGACACACTTAATTGGTGGAATGGGTATGTTTTATACATTTTTAAATTTACTTAAAGCTACATTAACTAACTACCAGGTTTCTAGGCAGGTTTTCGGCTCCTCTGGTGAATTGCTCACTATTGAACCTGAGGAGGACGAGGAGTCATCAATTGTAGCCATTTTGAGAGCTTGGAAGGCTTGCAAAGGGTGTGGACAGTCCCAAGCAGGAGGATTGGCTGGCCAGGGTCAAGGACTGGCTACTCGAATGTAAGACACTCACCTGCCAGACAATACACACATGGATGAGGTTTAGGTTCGTTTTTCCACTTTCTAATTCTACACATTGACATTCACCTTACTTGCCTCATTTAGCAAGTCTCGTAACCGTTTCCCTTGCTTTGTGTTAACAAGATCAGCCGTTTGTCTCATTTCTTGCCCTGACACTCATACAGTATGCTTTCTGCTTTCACCACTTTTCTTCTTGCTCCTGCACCTGTTAGTGCTATAATTAGTATTTAGTAACGTTGTAATATTGCCACGAAAATATAAATAATTTGAATCATTATTAATGCATGTAAGGGCGAAAAAGTAAAATGAATATAAGTAGAGTTTGTATATACATTGCAATTCTTTAGTAAGGCTTCTGTCAACATTATAAGGCAGAAAAATGTATATTGGTTTGGAACAGTCTTTTAGACTGTTATATTAATTTGCATACATTATAATTAATACCATCCTTCCTATAGTATATACTCCTCATCATTTTCGAGATCAAATATAAGTCATTTTACTTATTGCAAGGGATAAAAAACTTTATGTACCTTTATAATGTGAACAAATCTTTTATGCCTTATAATGTATACAATGTCTTTACTTATTATAAAGAACAGCAAGCTTTCCTTAGGCTTGAAATACTAATAAACCTTTTGAATATTGACAAACCTTTTGGATCTTATAATGCCTTATACTGTTTCTCAGAAATTGA